AAAAATGAATCTGAAAGATAAAATTAATGGTAAGATGAGACATAAACTAGGTTGCTCGCTTAAGACAATTCACGTCTTTTTATGAAAAAAAAACACAATACAGAAGGTAGCAGTGAGTCGTCCCTATAATATAACAACTCAATCTAATTGATTGTTATTTTACTCAGATTTGCACAATCAAATAAAACAAGCTTCACACGACACTTTTTGGCTAGTCTCATCTCTGCGCATTTGTAAGATTCAAGGTCTCACTTAACTTAATTACAAGATAGCACTGATATATCTATAGTACAAAACATGTCAGGTTTCAATAAGTTCATCTGACAGTTTCAAATAAACTCATCCAACAGTTATCAATATCTCTTTTATCCACATTGTACCGTGTCTTAAGGTACAGATTACTTCTAGTAGTGTATAAACTCAAATTCTTTTAAAAAATTAGTCAATATGTGATTCAGTCTTCCCATAAAATACTCTAACATATAATGTTAGAATGCACTTTCCCATCATTAGGTTATACCTATTATAGACAACTTGGTTTGAGCATTCATTCTATTTGATTGATCTCAAAACTTAGTCAATAAATAGTGTGAGATTTTCTTAAAGGATATTGTGATTTGGATAAACAATGGATAGGCTATAAGACATACACATCAAAGCTTTATTGGTAAGATGCAAGCAGAAAGAGAAGCTTAAATTACATACAAATGGATAAATTTGTCTACTTTATTCAACAGCTTTAGACATATTTAATTGTAACTCTTTGCGTGCTATTAAGGCACTTTAATATAAGTCTAGTGACAAATTGTTAGTTTTATATGTATTTTTTAATCTGGTTTTGCTCCATTCTTACAAGCTTAATCACATGTATATGTAAAAAATAATATAATATACATAACCCTATTATTTTATAAACTATGATGTATATGTAAAAAATAAAAACTTTTCTAGTTGCGTAGGAAAATTTTTTAACTAAATGCTTACAAAGATACGTCTAAATAATGACTAATTGATCCCTATTTTCTAGATTGTTAATTGACCTGTTTCAAATTTAATCGATTCTTGTAATTAATGAATGACTGCATGTTTTAAAGGGTTGCTAATCTAAAGTAAAATTAGAAAAATTTATGTTTAGATAATCCAAAAAGTTGATATGTATATATATAATTGTCATTAATGTATGCATGGAAAAATTACATGAAATGATAAGATGAGTGCCACTTGTGGGACCCAAAATTTGTCATTTTTCAGCCGGTGTTATTGAAGGGAATATGCCTGGTACGAAAAGGCAAAGGAAGGTTCTTGACCCAGCTAATGACCTTATTTTGAGGGACTACCCAGAAATCATGGTGAGTGAGAACATGATAAGAAGTCGGTCTCTGTCATCACATGGAAGAGAGAGAGAGAGAGAGAGAGAGAGAGAGAGAGAGAGAGAGAGAGAGGGGAGGTATACACATTTATATGAACAGTAACATGTACATAGCCAACAGGGGCGGCAAACTCTCCCTATCGAGTATTTAAATGCAACTTCGTTTAAATATTCAGTAGAGAGAGTTATGCTGCCCTTATGGTCCTGCCCGACTCGAATGTAAATTAGTCTGGAATTTGTTGTGATTACTGGATACCGGATGATTTACACCAAATGTAATACCAAACAATTTATCTAAATTAATTTATCCAATAATTATATTGGCAAGTCATATTAAAACAGTTAATGGTAGTGACCAATCCAACTATACATATTACTTTGATAAAAATAATGAGCTCGTTTGATTATCGTATTAGAAATAAATATAACAATTAATTTAATACAATACAAATGAACCAAAGACAAAATTAAATAGGGTATTAAAATAATATCTAATTTTATCTAGTGTTTGGTAATATATAACCTAAACGTTTGATAATAGTTATTTAGTCTAATTGTTGTTTGGTTGATAAATTATTTCATCGTATTAATGCTGAATTAACAAAAATACCCTCAGCCGGAATTAACTATATTGATAAAAGCTTGGTTTTAACAGCTGAGGAGTTATAATAATAAATGTTTACAATAATACATTTAAGTTGAATTATAATATCATCCCTCTTGATGATATTAAAATACTTCCATAATATACATCTATGGTATCAAAAATATACGATTAATATATATTTTTGAAATTAAAACGGAATCAAATTTATTTACCAAATAAAGTATTTACCCGATTAGAGAGTTTTAATTTATTTTAACTCCTCAATACACTCCCCCTTAATACTGCAACTAAACAATCTAATATGAAAGTATTTGTTGTGTACAAAGATGTAATACGAAACTAATAAATCAAGTATCATTTAAAGTTAAGGCGTGCAATCGTGCCCCTCGGGTAATCTCTTATGTTCTTTTTTGCTCCGTGTGGTAGGGAAGATAAAAAGTAAGAATGATCGAAAATAGGAGAAATACACTTTCTATCTTTCAAAGATGAAAAGTAGGATAAATATATTTTTCTTCCTTTGTGTTTGGTTGGATGGATGAAAAATAAAAATATATTTTTTTTTTTGTGCTTGGCTAAGATTAGAGGTGACAATCGAGTTGAGTCGTGTCGAATCAGATTCGTGTTGAGTCATTACGAGTTTATGTCGAATGTTAGTCAAACGTAACTTAACTCATTTAACTAATTATGTCGTGTCGAGTTGAGAGTTGACCTGTTTATTTTCGTATCGAGTTCGAATCGTGTTGAGTCGAAAATTTTCACCCTTAGTTAAGATGGAAAAAATATTTTTTTTAATTTAAAATTTTAATTTTAATTTTTAAAATATATAAACATATTTTACCATTGTATTTTTATATGAAATTAATGTATACATAAGATATATAGACAAATAAGATACATCTCAACACAAATAATTAATTTTTCATTTATTTTTCTTCCGATTTTGGAGAGATTGATTTTGGTGAGTTAAAAAAAAAGTTAATTCATCAACTTTTTCATTCTTCATACTTTCTTTCCTTACCAAACATGATGCTTTATTTATCCCTAAAACTTTTCATTCTCCCACTTTCTCATCGTACCAAACGAAACTTTCATGATTTATTTGAGTAATCACTTCTCTATACATAATGGGTAAGATCTGATGTGATATCGTTGGATTGATCACTACTATTAACATTCGTGTTTATCGTAACGAAGATGTATTAACATTTTACTATACTCTATACTAAAAACATGTGTATTGAGGGAATTTAAATACTCTCAATTTCAAGATTTTCTAATAAGGATGTGAATTTGGTTTAGTTCAAAATCTATTAATTTTGGGGTTTTTTTTTCTATTATTTTTAGGGATGTGGACGTACACTCGAGTTTAAATGACATTTATTCTAACACGTTTATGGTTGTACCAGTATAGAAGTAGTGACCTCATGATAAAAATTAATAGGAAGTGAGTTCAATGTTTGTACATATTTAGTGGGGGAATTAAAGTTGGTTGGTTATGGGGTCTGCAATTAAATGTGAGCGTGAATGAAGTCACTTTCTTATGTTCATTTCCTGTTAAGCCTAAAGGATAGTACCATCCAAAAGTATTCTCTTTAGAGGTAGTGTTGTCACGTGAATCCAACTCTGGTTTGAATCGATTTTGGATTATTTAGGTTCGTTCAAATTATGAGATAAAGTGAATTAAATCAAATTTTTAAGTTGGTTTTGTAAACTAGTTGAATCCAAAATATTGTGTTGATCGACTTGATTATGCTTCATTTAGCTCTAATTGATTCCAATTTAAGTGTCAAATCGATTTTGGTTTATTCAAATTCATTCAAATTATAAAATGAATTGAATTAGATCAAATTTTTAAGTTGGGTGTGTGACCTAGTTGAATCCAAACGTTGTGTTGATCGGCTTGAGTATGCTTCGTTTAGCTCTAATAGATTCCAGTTTATAAAACTTTTAATTTTACTATACCCTATCTGAATGATGAAGGAATGAAACATAACTCGAAATAACTCTAAATCATATATATTTGTCTCTCATTTTGTTCTTGATTGATTTTGATGATGCACAAAATTGTGTTGTGCAAGATCAACAGTCAATGATATTAACAGGTGTGATTCATGAGCAATCAATGGATAAAAACAGTAAATAATGGATCAACACAAGTATTTATAGTGGTTCGGTCTCGGATGACCTACTCTACTTTCGGGAATGACGGTGGTGGCCTATATTCTTTGTTGATGAATGATAGTACTCCGGAGAGATATAGTACTTTTAGGGAGACAGAGAGAAAACAATGAGTGTAGGGGGTGCGTAGAGGTTTCAGAGGCGTGCCCTCAATGTTGAGAGGACTTACATTATATAGTTAGGGTAAGGCGGTGACGTGGGTGAGTGGACTTCTACTACTTTGATAAGTGTAGTTATGGTAGGAGATCTCTGCGTCTATTTCGATGTTTACTCCCTCGTGCTCCAATTCTTTATGAGGAGGACTCTCAGTTGGATTGGACTTGATCCTCGTCTTAAGCCTGGACCTTTCTTGAGTTGGTGTGACTTGGACTTGGATTGGAGTTCTAAGGTGAAGAGGAACAAAGAGGGAGGCGCCCAAGGGCTGCCAAGTCTCTTGGGCGTTGGCCTTGTGACTTTGGGTGTTGACCTCTTGATGTCTTCCTTTCCAATGGGTCAATCCAGTTTCAATTTGGACTTTCCTTCGAGCTTTCTCAAATTGTTTTCATTGGGCCTAGCCCAGTCAAATTTGTGCTCGTCATTTGCCTCCCATGCCCCAAGCCTCTGACATTTATAGGGAGGAAGGGATTGAGGGCATGTGCTTCGTCTTCCTCTGAGTGAGCAGGAATTTTTTTTGCTTGCCACGGTGCTAGCTTCCACAGCGTCTTGCTCCTGTATCCTGGGAGTTTTTCTCTTCTTCTGATAGTTCCATGGTTGGGCATCTCCCTGTACATGCTAGGTGGGGCTAGAACCAAGGTGGGTAAGGCAGGCGTCGAGGAAGACTAAGGCTTCCATGTCCAGGGGGCTAAGTCAGTGGGTGACGCCATTAGGAAAAAGGGAGAACTGGGTGGCGCCCAAGGTGTTGAGGCAGGCGATTCCCGTGTGGGAGAAAAGAAGGGACAGCGCCCATGGGGCTTTGTCTTCTGTTGATGGTGTTAGGGACTCAAGCCATGGAGTAGCTGACCAGGGAGGAGACCTTGGCATTGGCCTCATAGGCGACGCCCAAGGTGCTAAGAAAGGCGTCCATGGCGCGGGTTTGGCAAACAGTGACGACTTGGAGCAATGCTTTGGGCGACGCTCTAGGGCAATGGTTTGGGCGAGGACACCAAGGTGGCCTGGGCATAGAGGAGAAGAAGTGCACTGGGCGAGACTGCCTGGTGCAAGTGGGCGGCGCCCAAGCTAGGCAGGGCTTGGACTAGAGTATGTGGGCGGCACCCAGGCTAGGTGGAGCATCATAAAATTATAAAGAAAATCGGTAAAACTTTGAACAACCATAACTTTGCGCTCGATTATCCATTTGAGGCGAATATTTTTTTGAATTTGGGCATTTTTTCGAGATCTACGACATACAAATGGCCAAAGGCAGTTTGGTCACCAAATTTCTCAAAAAAAAAAATGCTTATTTCTCTCTGAATTTGAGTTTTAAGTATAATTCAGTGAAACCGACGATGGTGGAGAGTTGTGTTCTAACAGGCAATTGTCAGGCATTTATGGGTGACGAATTGACATTTTGGGTTTTTACCAGAGAGGGAGACTGTGATACCCTTTGGTTATACTGGTTCTTGACCTTGTCTTTGATTCCTGGAGCTTTTGTTGATAGGGCGATGGTGGAGACTCTCTTTGCTTTTAGAGTGCTGTTTTCCCTTCTTCTTAAAAGGATGAGGTTTGATGCCTCTAGTGCTTCTCGATCAAGGTCCGATTGCTAGGTTGCTTCCCGAGAGATGGGTCCTGATGGTGCCCCCACTATATTCCAGACTTAGACTTCTGTGTTAGCCTTTGTACTGCTATAGGAGTTGAGACACCTATGCGGTCTTTCTATGAGGACTGTAGCTCCACATAGCTGTCCTGCTTTGACTTAACTTTGGTCAACGAGGGGCTTTGGAGGTCTGTGGCCCCTAGGATATCAGAGGGGCAGCTATGAGGGCTACTGAAGAACAAGTAGGGCTCGGGTGATAGGCATGAGAGAATGCTACAGAGCAATAGGGCTATGGCGGCAGACACGAGAGAATGCCGCGGAGCAGTTGAGGGTTGGCTTACAAAAGAGGCGCTAAGCTGGAGGTTGAGGCCGCTCGGGAGCAAAGGTAGAGCTACGTATAGCTCAAAAAAGGGCTGTCGTGGCGGAGACTCATTCCATTGAGATGGAGATGAGGAGGGCTCTCTTTATTCCATTAAGATGAAGATGAGGAGGGCTATAAGGAGCTGGGTGTCTAAGACTCATTCCATTGAGATGAAGATGAGGAGGGCTCTGAGGAGTTGGACGCTTGATGCCTGGTGTTGGGCGCCTGAAGCTAGGTGCCTGGTGAGAGGAGACGAGACCCATCATGGGGGTGCCCAAGGTAGAGAGGGCAAGACCCCTCGTTAAGGTGGCATCAAGAGGAGCGCCCAAGTTGGAGAGGGTGAGACCCCTCGTCTGGGCTCATGGTGAGAGGGGGTGAGACCCATCATCTGGGCCCACCTGGTGAATGGGGGTAAGACCCATCGTCTAGGCCGTTTAGTGGTAGGGGGCGAGACCCATCATCTAGGCGACATCGAAGGAGGCGCCAAGGTGGAGAAGGCGAGGCCATCATGGGGGCGCCTAAGGTGGAGAGAACGAGAACCCTCCTCTACGCGACATCATGAGAGGCACCCAAGATGGAGAGGGCGAGACCCCTCGTCTAGATGCCTTTTGACTTTTTGTCCACCTTGTTGTTGATAGGTCGTAGGCTATTTGACATGAAAACAAAGACAATTATGAAAACCATAATCTTGCAAAATTTTTTTTTATAAAATAATGAATAACATAAATAAATAAACTGAAATTGTAAAAGATAAATAAAATCTTCAGGCGTGTCCCATTGGTGGGCCGATATTTCCTTGGTGGAGTTGTAGCCCTCAACAGATTGTCTGAATTTCTCCGAGGGGTTGTTCGCGTTCTCTGTCGTCCTGGTCCTGACTAGGTGGCGGGGCTTGACCTCTGCCATCAACATATTGCCTCAACTGATCACGCTGTATGAGCTCCTCTATCTGCCTCTTGAGCTCATAACAGTCATCTGTGTCGTGGCCATGGTCGCAGTGGAAGTGACAGTACCTGCTGTGATTTCTACAATTTGGGGCGGACTTCATTTTTTTAGGCCAACGAAGCGTGGGGTCATCCTATATTTGGAATAGGATGTGCTCCACCAAGGCGTTGAGTGACGTGAAAGGTTGTCTGTCTCTCGGGGGGTATGGACCGAGATGGTCCTTGACAAAAACTCTTTCGATTCTCTTTCTCTCGTTCTCCGCCTCCCACTTGTCTTCGCGGGTGTCTTTCCTCTTCTCCCCTCTTTGGGAGGACTTACCTCGACAGGCCTTGGTGACGTTCTCAGCATTCAAGTATTTATGTGCCCTTGACAACTACTCGAGCATGCTGGAGGGTGGCTTCTTGAGGACAGAGAACATGAAACTAGAGGTGCGGAGGTCGGCGATAAAGGTGGCAAGAGATACCTTATCATCTTGCTTCTCAATCTGGAGAGCCTCCTTGTTGAAGCGGGCGAGGTAGTCTCTCAGGCTTTCATCCCTGTCCTGCTTGATGGTGAGTAGATGGGTCACTGGTCTCTGATATTGGCGTCCCCTAATGAAGTGGGAGACAAAGGACCTGTTGAGCTCGACAAAGGAGCGGATGGAGGAGGGCCTGAGCTTGGAGAACCACTGGCGAGTATACCCCTTCAAGGTGGTAGGGAAGGCTTTACACATTATCTCATCAGGCACATTCTGGAGCTGCATGAGAGATTTGTAGGTATCTAGATGGTCTAGGGGGTCCTTGGTGCCATCGAAGATCTCGATAGTAGGCATCTTGAACCTTAAGGGTAGAGGGTAGTTAAGGATATCAGCTATGAAAGGGATATTGGTGCGCCTTACCAAATAGTCAACGGTTTTAGGCATCTGTGCTTTGATGGCGTTGAGGGCATCACTGAGTTGATTTTGTACCTCTCTAATCTTCTCGTCTCACTAATTGGGGATACCCCTCAGTCCGGTGGTGGTACTTGCTTTCATGGTCTCTGTATTGACTTTCTCGATTTTCGTCCTCCTGCCTAGGTTCATGAGGGGAGGGCACTTGAGAACTCCCTGCGCACTGAGGTGGTGCTAGATGAGGAGTGCCATGGTGTGGTCCCAGAGTGTTCTGTCGAGGGACCCCGTTGTGGGGGGCTGTCTGGCGCCCAGGAGGGATATGCAGTTGTTCCTCTCCCGGTGGAGGGAGTGGGACTCCTCTTGAGAGGGGAGGGGCAACGCCTCCTTGGGAGAGCATGAGTTGGATGATTTGTTGGTTCTGGGTCACCAGCAGCTGAATGGTCTGAAGGAGTTGTTGCTGCTGTCCAGCAGTGGGAGTGGTAATAGCGGAAGGTTCCACAGATGCAGTGGGAGGCAGAGCCTCCTCCCGGTGAACTGGGTTGTTGTCTCCCAGTTGCTGAGACCTCGACTTGGTCGTGATTGCCATGGATTAAAAGAGAGTAGGAAAACTAGTCGTTCCTACAGACGGTGCCAAACTGATGATGCACAAAATTGTCTTGTGTAAGATCAACAGTCAAAGATATTAACAGGTGTGATTAATGAGCAATCAACGACAATCAATGGATAAAAACAGTAAATAATGGATCAACACAAGTATTTATAGTGGTTCGGTCTCGGATGACCTACTCCACTTTCGGGAAGGACAACGATGACTTGTGTTCTTTATTGATGAATTATAGTACTCTGGAGAGATATAGTGTTTTTTGGGAGACAGAGAGAAAACAATGAGTGTAAGGGGTGCGTAGAGGTTTCAGAGGCGTGTCCTCAATGTTGAGAGGGCTTACATTATATAGTTAGGGTAAGGCAGCGACGTGGGTGAGTGGACTTCTACTACTTTGGTAGGTATAGTTATGGTAGGAGATCTCTGCGTCTATCTCGATGTTTACTCCCTCGTGCTTCTATTCTTTTGGAGGAGGACTCTCAGCTGGATTGGACTTGATCCTCGTCTTGAGCTTGGACTTGTCTTGAGTTGGTGTAACTTGGACTTGGATTGAAGTTCTAAGGTGAAGAGGAGCAAAGAGGGAGGCGCCCAAGGGGCTACCATGGGCGGCGCCCAAAGGCTGCCAAGTTTCTTGGGCATTGGCCTTGGGGCTTTAAGTGTTGACCTCTTGATGTCTTCCTTTCCAATGAGTTGATCCAGTTTCGATTTGGACTTTCCTTCAAGTTTTCTGGAATTGTTTTCATTGGGCTTAGTCCAGTCAAATTCGTGCTCGTCAGATTTATTTAGAAATTCGAACTTCTAAAACTTGATTTTATGGTCGGTTAAGAGAATTTTATTTGAGAAAATGATTATTTTAGGATTGATTATTAAATTTTTTTAAAATTTCAGTAGTAAAAAATTTTGTCGAGAAATTGAGGTTGATTTTAGTTTTAATGTTTACAAGCTTCTACCAAAGCCCATGACATGTGACAAAAAAAATATTAGGGTTTTTTGGAGTTGATTTTTTTAAGTGAAAAATTACGATTTAAAAAAATTTTGCAAAATGGTTCTCCAAAACCGTTTAAGGTGTTTTTTAAAAAGTTTAAAAAATTTAGAAAAGTTTGTTTAGAATGACTTTTTAATTTTTTTGTGTCAAAAAAGAAAAAATTACATGTATGTATAAATTATGCAAAATAGTTCTCAAAATATAAATTTAATTTTTTTTACATCATTAATAATATTTTATGAATATAATAAATTAAAAAATTATGTCGAACCCGCGACAAAATTTTAAAAAGTCGAAAGAAAAATTTATAAAATCAACTTCTTCAATCAACCTAAATAATCTTTTTTGGGTCTAAAAAATTACCATAAAAACCAATAAAAAAACCGAAGTTTAAACAAACTTGACCAATTTTATTACAAAATCCTTTAAAATTAGTCATTTAAACTACCTCTAAACAGCCCATTGTAAAATTTCCATATGATACAATTATGCAAAGGTTGGAACAAGTAGCCCTCCAAGACAGCTCTATGCCCACAACTTTACAAAAACGACCCTGTAGTTTTCGACATCCCAAAGGAAAAAGGGGCTGATTGAACCATACTTTGGCTTTGTCTTTTTCTAGTATATCTATAAATTATATATAATAATGTATTGGGGTCGGTTGATCTCCAAAAATTCATCTCAATTTTCTTAGATTTTTTATTCTTTAAAATATTATATTTGACT